AGCTGTGACCAATATGCAGAGATCTGTGACCATTTATTGTGACCAACAAGAGATGACCAGTGACATATTGCAAAGACTCTGCAAAATGGAAGTGGTTCAGCTGTGACAAATGTATGAAATGATCTGTAACAAATCTTCAATGACCTGTGACCAGATTGGATTGACTTTTAATAATTCTTCATGACCTGTGACCAATATACTGTGACCTGTGACCAGGGTGCAGTGACCTGTGACAATGGGAATTGACCTGTGACCAAATTACACAAACCAGTGACCTTTGGAACTGCAGATAATCCTAGAAACTGGTGACCTGTGATAATCCTAAAAACTGCAGGTAACCTGTGACCAATATACAGTGACCTGTGACCAATATACTGTGACCTGTGACAATGGGAAATGACCTGTGACCAAATTACACAAACCAGTGACCTTGGAACTGCAGATAATCCTAGAAACTGGTGACCTGTGATAATCCTAAAAACTTACTGTAACCTGTGACCAGGGTGCAGTGACCTGTGACAATGGGAATTGACCTGTGACCAAATTACACAAACCAGTGACCTTGGAACTGCAGATAATCCTAGAAACTGGTGACATGTGATAATCCGAATAACTGCGGGAAACTATTAAATTTTGAGACTTTGTCCTCGATACGGTGTCAATATAGCAAAATATGATATATAGTGAAACTTGTAGTAAAGTCCCAAAACATTAATGAACTTTTTGATATAAACAGACAAAAGTAATAACTGCGTTGTCATTACAAACGAATTTCCAAAACACGAGACAATGTTTCCTGCTATTTCAACATGTTACTTCTAAATTGCACTATCACTCTAAAACAATGCTTTCCCCACCAGTAGGCTGCACCGGCTTTCTAGTCTTCCCGATTTCACGATATTTGAACAACAGTGAAGCTACATCCAACCGAGCTCTCCCCGCATCAAACTTCATTGGCATGGATCCTATATCGTCATGTAGCATGTACTCCATCGTGATGGAGTCTTCTCCATCCTACTTGTTTCATCATCGTCGACATATCTCAAACCAGTCACCAAACAAAATTCTGAAATTGAGAACCGCACGAATCTTCCAGCTATGTTGAACCACAACTCACTCTCATTAGGTTGTTGCACTTGTCTCAGAAGAAAATAGTGTATGAGCTGCGATTGGATAACAATTTCCTCGCATTGCAGGAAGTGAGCGAAGCACGTATTCTGAAGGATTCGACGTTGGGCTTCATTGAGATTGTTTTTGAAGTTCGACACCACACCTTTGACAGTGGTAATTGTAATTTTACCCGAAAACCAACTCTTCTCGAGTATAATGTATCTCCAGGCCTGCAAAAACGATCACAATAAAACTGATTCATTTTGGTCACAGGTGAAAATTCAGGTAGTCACAAACATCAACATATAGGTCACAGATCCCCTTCAGCAAAAAAGAAATCAACAACACCCATACAGAACGACACAATAGCGTTCCGTAATTCGCAAATGAACAACCACTTTTGAAAAAAACATTAAAAACCCTTACTACAATCAGGCATTTCGATTACAAATTCAACACAACATACATCTCAAATTCAAAAATACTTCATCAATACACATTACCCATCGATTAAAATGAAGATAGGTATACTCGAAATAAGTGAACAATTGAAAAATATCAAAAAATCACCTTCTTCGACGACTGTTTTCCAACCGAACTTCTGGATTTTTGTCTTTTAGAGGATGATTCCTTCTGCACTTCATCCAACTTCCTTTTAACTCTTCTTCCTGACTCGTGGATTCCAGTTTTCTCCCCACGTTTCCCACTGCTTGAACGAGTCATCGTTGAAGTTTTATAATACTTCGGGTAAACTGTGAACACAGTTTTGGGAAGGAATGTAAAAATTATGTGACCGACTGTGAAAGAAGTTGATCGGGCAATCGCCGGAGAACGACAGTGATGAACGACCGATTGGATGAACACGGTTAGGATGAACACGGTTTAATCGAGAAATGGGATACGTGAGGGACGTGGTTATGGAAATGACGATTTTATGGAAAAGACGTGTTTAAAGAAAATACAGTTTCTAAATTTTTGAATCACGTGATTTTAGGTAGAGATATCTATTAAATAATTTTAAATTAATTAGAAAATGAAAAAAAAAATCTGATTACAGAAATGTGAAACTTCCACTCTTATTTAGGAAATATGAATTTATAAAATATGGATTTGTGTAATTACCACAAGCATAATACCAGGCCTAAGTCCACCTAAGCCCGTCTGCCAACTCTCTAGGCAGCTTCAGATTCGTTTTGATGGTAGGAACAAGATATTTACCAAAGTCAAAACCGGTCAAAGTTATCTATAGTGAATCAAACATTTAGCTAGTATCCACTATCACTAAGATTTCTCAACGTTAATTAGCCAAGTTATTTTAAAAAAGTCTTTATAGTCAATATGTCTTTTATTACAATCAATATCTGATATAAATATAAGTGGCAAACGTGTCGATTTGCTCATCGTTTCCCAATTTGTTTCATTCAATTTTGGGATTGTTTTGAGATCAGTCATGAATAGAGTCGAACTGATATTTTGCTCATGAGCCGAATGGTTTGGGCTTGAGGATTGATTCATTTTTTCGCTCCATTTTTGAAATGTTTCTTTATAATTATTTTAATAGCAAAAAAAAATAAAATCGAATAAGCTCAACTTGGCTCATAAGTCCACAAGCCAAAGGGGTTGAGTCGAGCCGAGACTATCCTAGAATTTGGATACAAGCCGAGTCTCCTACACATAGCTATAGGAGCAACATGACAAAGACCAACAATTGCAAGGAGTGGATGAATGAACATAGAACACAGTGTATTGGGTTGATTTCTTTTTTTTGTTTATTTAAAGAACGGGCAATTTCATAATCTTACATGATTTGAACTGCCAAGTGAATGAAATGACAAACTTTGCTACATTTTCAAAATGCCGATGATATTTGTTACTAAAAAAGGTTAAAAGGTAGATTAGTAACAATTTTCAAATGTTGAGAATGATAAATACAAATTTTTTTTTTTAATTATTGAATATCTTCTAGATTGATCAAGAAGATATTTTTTAGCTAGTGAGAATTTGCTACTTGAACCTCAAATCTAAACCATCAATAATATCCAAATAAATGTATAATCTAACACAGTAAATCTATTTTTGCCCTTTTTAGCAAAACTATTCATGACTCAGACCTTATTGCACGAGGTAACTACAAAAGAGATGAACCAGGCAAGTTACCACCATAACTACTACAAAGCAAGCAATTCTCCATTACTTTTTTTTTTTTTTAATTTATTTTTTCTCAAATTCATATTCAATACATATTCACTCAATACAATAATGTTGCTCGTAGATCTATAATTTTTATTACTTTTTAATCACATATTTTCCAAAAAAATAATTTTCACAAAATATATTATTAAAAAATCTCTACCAAATGAAGGCACATTAAAGTTGAAATAAGAGCACGTCCATCCATAACATTCTTTCATAAAAGTTCAGAAATAAATGGTGAAAATTCGAATAACATGTAATCATTTTTCCCTGTTTGGTTTGGATTAAAATTAGAGTTTTAATTGTCTTTAATAAAAGTTGATGAAATGTATAATTGAAACAAAAAACTGTGAATCTCATAAAACTTGTAGTTGAAATTGAAATTAAGTTTGAGAGAAAATGAGTTTTAAAAAACTGGAACCAAACAAAGTCTAGTTGAATTTATCGATGTTGAGATAAGCTCTTTGGAATCTCACGTTTTCTGCAATTTTCATCACGTAACATAAATTTTTTTCAATAAAATCATGAGTACTAGAAAATTTTAATAGAACTTGTACTAACAATGATGTGGCAAAACATGATTGAATTATTTTTTTGTTTCCTTTTTTTCCATCTTTCAATAATCTCGCGTCATATGTTATACATAAGATTTTCTGTCAAAAAATTTTCTGATCATAGCATTCTTAATTTTTTTTTTTTTTTTTTTTTTTTGGATGTTTTGAGCACATTTTATCCATTTGCATCCAAATGCACATGAAAGTTAGCATAACAGAAAAATTATTGTTAATGACAAAATAATAATCCGACCCATCGAAAATCCGGATCCAAATATAAAAGAAAAACACATCCGCAGAACCTTCGGACCTCTCCGAAAACCGTCATCAGCCACCGTTATCCTCCGCCCTTTCCATTTCCTTAATTTCCTAAAAAATCTATTGCAGCACAGCCTCGATTTGCCTGTTAAACTATCGCTATCATCATATAATCCCCCTCCCTACCCACACCAACAACCTTTACTCTGTCGCACCGAAATCTAGAATCAGTTTCGGCTTTTCCAGATGAAAAACAACGCACTTGTGATTTGAAATCAGAGAGTTTTGGAAATGTTTGGGGCTGTCCAGTTTGGATTATTGGCAGCCGGGATTGTATTGTTCGTGCCGATGGGTATGGCGGGATGGCATTTAAGCCGGAATAAGATGCTCTTCTTCAGCTGTGCCCTTTTCATCACACTCGCTGTCGGTGTGCACTTAACCCCGTTTTTCCCTTCAATTTCTAATTTTCTGTACAAGTCTTCATTGATTTCTGATTCATCTTCGCCGACTGGAGCAACTTCTTCTTCCGTGATCCGGGATTCATGCATTTTTTCTCTACATAGTGTTGTTATGTATAAAAGTAACTATAATGAATGTATGGATGATGCTATTGATACTAATAGTGATAGTAGTTGTAAGAAGATGTCGTGGAAATGGAAGCAATCGGAAAGTGTTGCTGAATGTGGGTTTCAAAAGTTAAAGAAGCCAGATGTGTCGGTGTTGTTAAATGGGTCTTGGGTAGTTGTTGCCGGGGACTCTCAGGCGAGGTTAATGGTGGTTTCTTTGTTAGAGTTGATGTTGGGTTCGGATGGGATGAACAAAATCAGAGGGGATTTGTTTAAGAGACATAGCGATTATTCCACAACTGTGGATGAAATTGGGATGAAGTTGGATTTTAAGTGGGCGCCGTATGTTAGAAACTTGACCAACTTGATGATGGAATTTAAGGAAAATAAGGATTATCCAGATGTCATTTTAATGGGAGCTGGGTTATGGGATATGTTGCACGTGAATAATGCATCAGAATATGGTGTATCGTTGTCGGCGTTGAAGGATTCAGTTTTGTCGCTTTTGCCGGTTTTCCGGAATGTGGATTCCATTGATAGGGAGACAAGTGAGTCGATGTGGATTAGGTCACCTCATCTGTTTTGGCTTGGGATGCCAGTATTGATAAACTCAATGTTGAACACAGAGGAAAAAAGGGAGAAGATGAATGATGTAATGTGCAATGCTTATGATGATGAAGTTTCTAGAACTAAAATTTTGCGGCAATCTGGAGGACCACTTTTGAAATTGGATATTCGTTGGCTGACTGGCCTATGTGGGCCTCGGTGTACGATGGATGGGATGCACTATGATGGGGTCGTTTATGACGCTGCGGTTCAAATCGTGCTGAATGCGTTGCTTCTTGAATCAAATCAGAAGGCACGGTGATGCAAATTTTGTTTGCACATTAAGGAATTGATAACTGTGGAATAACAAAAGGCCTTCTTGTGGGCCCAAAATTCCTAGCGTCTCTTGAGGTTTCTTTAATTTTATTTCTCGGATTCTTTCCAGGTGCTTCCCTTGTCAGCATTAACCCAATAGTGAATTTTGGTATTGTAGTTATGTGGGGTTGATTTTTTCCCTTTACTTTTCAATATGCTTGAAAATCCTACTCGCACAAATTGTATGTGATAGATAGAGAAATTACAAGTGTCTCACATCTAATTTTGATGTAAAGAGATGCAAGAATGTTTGTTGATTTCTTGTATACGAGCTTTCTTTTATGAAAATGCTTCTCAAATTGTTTTTCTAACTTTATTTGCTATCAATTAGGAGAAGGCCGTTCAGACCATGTTCCTATTATTTAGTGATTTTGGTGACTTCTAAAATAGGGAGATAGCAAAAGATTGTAGGGGACTTACAGTTTCCACATATAGTTAAAAATTTGGGGTTGTTGACAATGATTCTAGCGATGTTGTAAAATAGGGGGCAAGCAAGATGGGAGATTATCAGTATGTCTTGTAATAATATCTGTTCTTTTACATTGACTTTTTAACAGCCACTTCCTTGATCTCCAATTGCAATGAAATGTATATAGATCTTCAAGGAATAGTTAACAGATACAAAATAAGCATATCTTTTTCCAATGCTTTGACTTAATTATTTGACAACCTTTATTTCTGTGTTTTACATTATAGTGAATAGTGATCACTTATCTTAAAAATTTCTTGATTCTGTGCTTTGAATGTCTTTGAACTTCATGTAATATTGTCTTGAGAGATGAAAAGCAATTGCTAGGTAAATTGTTTGCACGTGCTTGTTTTACCAGAAAGCTATTGTATTTACCAATTTAGGAAAAGAAACCAAGAATGTACATCTTAACTTGTGAAGTTCTATGCATTGAATGTTCAAAACAGTGGTGCTTTCTATTGCTAACTACGATTTATTTTTATATCAACACTCTAGTGTACTTTATAGAAAGACTGACCTTCTAGCAACAGCCAAATAAACTAAAACCAATAGAATCTGTTTACGTCAGAAGAAGAAGGTATAATCTCATCTTATGCAGTTTAAACTTGGGCCCTTTTAGACGGTGGACAAATATTACTACACGGTAATGCCATTACTGCAATTAAACAGTCTCTGTTGCATTGTTTGCTAAAAAAGAACAGAGTGGGAAGCAGCAAAGGAACCATTTCTTGATTTATATCCACAGTGGGAGAGAACAAATGATATTAAATTATTGAACACATATTCTGGTGAATATATTTCTTCACGTCATTTCCCCTTTGTTTCATGCTATCAATTAACATTCCTTTTGGATACAATTTATAAATTGGTTTATAAATTCTATCAAAGTCAAACATTAATTTCCATTACACATTCGTATCTACTAATTATTCTCCGCACATTTTGTGGGATCAACTACTGTTCTTCTAACTATTCCTATTTGTAAACCATTTATAAATTTGCCAAATTGAGGCTTTCAAATTATGGGGGTTACAAGCATGGAAGAAGGTTATAAGCGCTTGTAGGTCACCCAGTTGCCCGTCATATGACATCTTCTTGGTCAAACATGAATAATAGCTCAAATCTAACTTTTAGTACTTTATGTATTGAAGCTACCTTGTGTATGATGTAGTTCTATTGTGCCCCGTGCCTGGTATCTGGATTTCATATTCTTTATATGAGTTCAATGACATATTTTGGGGATGGGAATAACTAAATGAGAGTCTGCAAGATCAATGTATTTCAACCATTGTGGACAAATTTTAGGATTTTATGTTGGTACATGTGCTTTTAATGATGTGGAACAAAGGAAAGATTCTTCTGCAATAAGCAGCTGTATGGTGAATAGTCAGAGCTGGTTTTTCATGAATTTTGTGGCTGAAACAATTTGTGAAGTTTGAGCATTCCAAGGGTTTGAACTTTGAATTGTGGATCAGCAATAGACAAATAGGCAGTTTTAAACGACGTTAAACAGTTGTCTAGGCAAATTTTGGGATGTTTTTGTTGATTTTAAATATTGGGAAGGATTCAGAATAATGAGAAGATTCTGGTTTTCCCACCTAGGTTTCCAAGCAATTTTGCTCCAAGGTGAAGTTGCACTGAACCTTCAAAACAACATTCACCGGTTACCTGCTCATCCCAGGGTAATTCTCAGAATTATAAGAAAAATAAAGATGCTTGGTGGCCTATGGTCCTAGATGGACATGAGTCATGTCATAAATTTAGGAAACTAATGAACAATTTGATTAAGAAAACTAGGGAACAATTTGGGAACTCACACTCTAACAACTCTAGAACAACTGCATGTCCTATTAAAGCAGATGGGTTCTCTACGGAGTATTAGAGGTTTGAATCCATACGGCAGCTGAAAGGCAACATTTATGTTGGAAAATAGATGTCCTGTGGAGGCAAAGTCATGGTATGTTTTGTCACCCTTCTAGAGGTCGTTACTTCTCTGAATTAGTCGGGCGAAACTCGGGCACCAAAGTCATTAAAAAAATAAAAATAATAAATAATAATAATAATAATAATAATAATAATTCAAATAACATTAAAATAGAGGTAGTAACAGCTTACACTATATATTAATTACCAAACTAATTTTAATTCTTGAAACATTAATGCAGATTTTTCATGCGAAGTTCAAGATTTCCCTTTTTCTTGCTTATGTATTTCGCATAAAGCTGATGCTATAACTTAGTGAGTTTGCACTGTTTTGCAAAGTGGCTGATTTGTCCTGTATAACACATTGGTCTATCATATTACTAAACATTGTCATAGTTGCTGATCATAAACTCAACTAGAATCGACTTTAGGAGAGTATACTTCACATGCCCATAAGGCATTATGACTTCTATGCTCCCCAATATCATTGTTGAAGGGTTAATACAGTGAATTTGACTCCATCTACTGACCTTTTCCCTTTCTGATTTCAAGCCTCGCGAACCTTGCTCTATGAGAGAAGTAGATTTAATACAGTGTATTTGAATTTGGCTGCATATCTACATTTGTACCTGGAAGGTGCACTAATGAGGTAAATCTGGATATTTCAGGATAAGGCTTAATTTCGGTTTACAACATCAATTTACTTAGTTTAATCAGCTGTTAGCATTATATTATTTGATTCTTCTTTGTATTCTGGTTGTAGGTTGCATTTTTGGTAATATTCTGACTTGAATTCGATTTTGAAGATGATTCTTAGTGTTACTTTCATATTTTTTGAGCATTCCAGGCCATATCTAGATATTTTACGCCAAATTTTTTTTTAGAATTTACTAGCTTTCTAATTGTTGTCCTACTAGAAATGGGAAAGTTAACTGCTTGTGTTATCTATCTTAATGAAAAAAGGCAAAATGAGGAAACAAGAGAGATTTAGATACTTTCTTTGGTTTGATTTATTAAGGGAATAAGTTTATCGACTCATGAAAGCATCTGTGGTTCTGCTTTTCTTCCTTCAGCTTATCAAAATTATCTAGAAAGTACATAATTCCTTGTGCATGATTTTCCATGTAACCCATGCTTGACACCAGAGTTCGTTCAATTCAGGTATTCTCTTGAATGGGGTTTTCGATACAGTCCCTTAATATATTTATTATCGATCTTTGAAGTTAATCTATTCCTGCACATTGGTAATGTAAAAGTATTCCATGTGATTATTTTTTTGCATATCAACTCCAGCTTATCCTTTGGTAATCTTTCTCGCGGCAGATATTTTTGTCATCCATTTATGCTAAGACCATTCGAGGGTTATTTGAATTCTAAACTCTATCGATAGAATAGAGTAGTTTGTCAAACTTGGAACCTCAGTTCTATATGCCACTGTCGAGCCTAGCTAGAGCTACCCTTTACCTTCAATATCTGTGTTACTGCCGTTAACAATTTCGTTCATTGATTGATCTATATGCTAACAAGTGATGGTGACACCAATTGTTGTCGATACATGTTTTGTGTAGACTTCAGTAGACTTTTGTTGTCGGCGGTAGTTAGCAATCTTGTTTTTTTAAGAATTCTAGCAAACTGCCAACCAAGGAAAAAAATAAAAATAAATAAATAAATAAAATCTTAAAAGTTTTCACTTCAGTCCAAGATCCATATGTGTTTAGATGTCAAATTTTGGCCCAAGTGATGAACAATCACGTATTATTTACTCCTATACTCGCAATGTCTTTGGAAACAAAAATCACAGTTCGATGTCAAGTGTTGAATTGGATAAATTTCTGCATGTCTACTCCGTCCTACTAAACATTTCATCAAAATCAAAACATCCTTCAAACTAAATTATACTTGCCTAAAAACAAGTAAAGAAGTTACGCCGAGAAAAACCAACAGATATTTTCTGATGCAGGACTCAGCATTAACAAATTCAAGCCTAAAGAAAATGTTAAAAATGTGATTACTACCATTACATAATCTACATTTCAATATAAAATACAAAGTACCACAACTGGAGACCACCTCTGGTGTTTCAAGGTTCTTAAATCCCCGTCAAAGACGCGACTACAACAACAACATATTAAGCCTTGTACCCAATAAATTTGGGTAAGCTACACAAATCCCTTTTTTCCGTTCCATTCCATTTGTTGCCAGGTCTAATGGGAGATCTATAGCCTCCCATCTAAGAGACAGAGAGGAAAAAAATTGTAGTTCCCACCCCCCACCCATAAAACCCCTATCTCCAACCAGCTCGATAATACAGACAAATTCTCTGATTCTGGGTAAGTTTTAAGATTCAAATTGCTTGCCTTCAAAAGTCTGTCCAAAACTCCAACTCTTTGGAGCAACATTGTAAGATGTAATAGTCAATCCATCACTACTGGTGACCTCAAATGAAAGGGGCTGATTCTTCATATCAGCATTTATATGCCAGTTTTGGCCCCAGTTTCTGCCCATTGGAAGCCATCCTGTTCTTGAACCCTTGATTTTCACAGCCGTTACGTCTCCAGCACCTGCAACGTTCCTTATTAGGACTGATAAGAATATCCCGGCACCACCGACCGTGAACCGGACGCCTCCTTCCTTTCTGCACTTGATTCTGTTTGAGAATCAACACAAGAATAAGAACATTAAGAAAGGTTTACTGAGATGGAAATGAGATATATTGAAAACTTGAATAAGTGAAGATTCATTGTACTTATGGTAAAGAAAAAGGCTTGGCATTGCAGCAGAATAATATCAAGCTAGAAGATTTTTGGGCAATGATCACTCCTTGAACATTCATTACCGTGATATTACAACAATGATTGACAAAGGCTAAAATGAAATTGTGAACATAACTAGAACAATTTTCAAGTCACAGTTTAGGACATCAACCGCAAGAAGGAAGTATTGTTCCCATCTTCAAAACCATGATGTTGCATCAGAATTTCTAGATGAAACTAGAAAGATTTTTGAGTAGTCAAACCATATAGCAAACTATCATAAAGGTTTGGCTAAATAAGCAATTAATTTGCAAGATAAACAACATAAAACTAAGTCCTGTTCTCTCAATAAACATGGAGTTGGTTAAATGAATACTAGTTTGGCTTAACCTTCTTCTTCTAACCTGCTCTATAGAGATTAATTCTATCTTCAAATCAGGAAGATGCAATTCTATGCAATACATGCACCAATCACCTAATTCGTCCTTCCCTTAATATATATACTCAATCATTGCCACATCCACTTTTTGAAAGATATTACCAAAAGAAAAAAAGAAGAGGAACGCTCTTAAAGACAATCTTGAAAATCATTTAATTGATATTATGGAAAATAGGGATCTGTGCGGACTCAAGGGGTGGATTATGATGATGCTCAAATTTCTAACTAGCACTGGGTCTACTGATAACGTATTATCCTTTTTGTTGCCTTTTTTCCAAAAATAATTAATGGAGCAATATGGGAGACAAAGTTATAATATTACCTTGTGAAATTAAGGAAATTGAGTTCATATGAAATTATGGAATGATAACTGGGAGATAGTGTAGTGTGAGGTGGGATTCTAGAATAAAGAGATCCGAATGCTTCTAAAGAATTAGTTAGATTAATATCTGGAAAACCACAAGAAACTGCCGTACAACTAAAAACAAGATTTTACTTTTACGTTCCTGTGTTTCAGGATAACCCTCTTACTAATAAGTTTCATTAAATTTGATTATAAAGCAGTTGATAGTGTGACTAGTTACCAACAAGTCATCATCCCTACACTTGTGTAAATGATTTGCTGGGATCTCATTGCTAAACTTCGCAGTTTGGGAAACATCTAAAGACTTGAATTATCAGCTATTGCCTCACTTTGTTCGAGTATTCAGCAATTCCTAATGGTGTGATCCATTGTCAAATCAATTTTCAAACCACAATAGTTTTGCCCTCAATTACATCTGGGTTTCATCTTTGCTTGACTTTGCTTTCCCTTTACCAAAATTACCAAGAGCTTTTCAAATTTTAGCCAGACCCAATCTATTTTTTGAACTAAAATTTCTCGAATTGATTTTCATTGCAGTGCCCTCTTAAACTTCTTTGGAATCCCTGAATGAGGTAGATAAATGGGAGGCCTATATTTGCATATTCTTATGGATTGGTTTCAACTGAATGATGTGAACCAATAGATGTAAAATCCACAATAAAATTCCATATATTTGGATTATTTTGAGTTATTAAGTATTTTTATCCTGAGCCAACTCGATCAACCATTTTATAACTTTTCATGATTGACTAGAATTCATCTTTAATTTGGAGTCATCTAAAATCCAGTACTTTCTTAACTAATTCAACAAATCCTAGAATCCGAGTACACTGATTACAAACGCAAGCTAAATATGCTAAAGGGATTGGTCAATGAGAGAATTCCTCAGCTGTCCAATCTAAGTTACCTGTACAGTGTATGAGGGTCATTCAAAACAAAAAGAATGCTAAAAATAGCCTATCATACAGCTTGGTGTTAAAAGATAATTTGCTGACAAGAAAAGAAATGGCTAAATCAGATAGAATTTCCTAACACAGACACCCAAAAAATCCCATACGATATAACAAGGCAACTTTCCAGTCCAACCTTCTGAAGATAAACACACAGTTTCACTATATTTCCGATTATTAAAATCATTACTGTTCGTAGAAGACTTCTCTTCACACCTTCAAACAAACTATTCTTGCATTTCCAAGCCTGTGCTCCTTCTCAGCACCAGGCAAAAGGTTCAAGAACTGCTGTTAAGATCAGATTCTTGACTCAAAATAAATCTCCATCAAAAGTTCGTTGTCAACAGTTTCTCAAGCATAATACCACAATTTATAGATCATATCTCTCACTAACTGAATGCAAAATGAGAAAACTCCCAAAACAAGTTCATATACTCAACGAACCAAGCAAAATAGCAGTTCTTTTGCCCGACCATTTAACAAATTAAATAAGGTCTGGATTGATCTGCATCGCTAACTGAGATCAATTTATTCCTAAACCTTGGAGACTAGTAATAGTTTTACACTGTAATCGGTCCAAAGGTTGGGATAACAACCAACATCTAAGTGCTTCTTAAGAATAATATTTTTCCAGATCCCACACATTTCAAGTAGATCTCCAGTAAGTAAAAGTACTAGAGCAAGAAAGATAAGGCAAATCCATAATGTAAAAATAACAGCAATTGAAGTGACAGCCACTAATATCTACCATGCAATTCACTGTTGTACCAAACCCAAAACGATAATTTCGTCCAGAAATCAAAATATAAAAAAGATGAAATTAATGTCTTTCAATACCTTCGGTACTGAATTGGCATATTGGAAGCCTTCCAAATAGCAATCTTCTCAAAAGCCTCAATGGGCAAAACAAAATGGGCATTTGGCGGATTACACTTGCCGCCACCATCAGGCTCAAACCCATAATTCGGAGCACAAAAATTTGTCGCCGTGACAATAATAGAGGTACCCGGAATACACCACCGTAGATCTTCCACGCACCTTACCTCGTAACACGCGCCGCAGATCTGACCTTTTTCAAACAGAACTGTACTCAACCCAGCAGTGGCCTTCCCATAACCGCTCTTTTCCAGGTCACCATACCCACAAGCCCCACCGACCGCATCCCGGGGATCCGCAGCCGCGTAGTAGGTGGCCCTGGCGGGCTTCCAATCAGATTGCGCGGTGATGGCAGATGAATAAGGGAACGGCGTTGATGAGTGGTAGTGGGAGTGAACTGGGTGTTGTTGAAGGAGTGTGAGGGTTAGTAAGAGTGATGGAAGAATTGGTGTGAATAGAGAAGCCATAGTCAGGGTTTAAGTTTTGTTTTGAGCGTTGCTAATTTATTACTATAAATAGGGTGCAAATATAGACAAAGTGGGAATATCTTTAATTTAGATGATGGCTTTAAGGACCACACTATTTGAACTTTATGCAAACGTTAATATTGCTCTCACGTCCAGTCAAGATGATTAAGGATCCATCTGATATAATCTTTGCTTTAGCTTTTATTTTTCTAAAAGAACTTTTAGGAAAAAAATACCATAAATTTTGTTTGAAAATTAATTTTCAAAATAGATTTTTTAGGAATGGCAACGAAATGGGTATAAGGTGGGTGGGCCCATCCTACCTCACCTCGTCGAGTAATTTTGTCACCTTATCTTGCCTTGATACCAAATTAAAATGGGCTCGGGCAGGGAGGGATGCAGGATTGGTTCCTTGTCCTGTTTATCGTTGCTCTCACGTCCAGTCAAGATGATTAAGGATCCATCTGATATAATCTTTGCTTTAGCTTTTATTTTTCTAAAAGAACTTTTAAGAAAAAATTACCATGAATTTTGTTTGAAAATTAATTTTCAAAATAGATTTTTTAGGAATGGCAACGAAATGGGTATAAGGTGGGTGGGCCCATCCTACCTCACCTCGTGGAGTAATTTTGTCACCTTATCTTGCCTTGATACCAAATTAAAATGGGCTCGGGCAGGGAGGGATGCAGGATTGGTTCCTTGTCCTGTTTATCACGTCATTTATTTATTGTTTTATACATTTATTTTTTGATTTTAGTTTTTTTTTTATGTATTTAGTTAATGAAACAAAAAAAATGTTCTTATCTTTATTTATTATTGTACAAAATGTATTTATCTTTGATTTTTTGACATTTCTGCCCCTATTTTGACATTTCATTGCAGAAATATGTTTTTTCATCCAATTTCTCAATTAGAAAAATGAAAAATGAAAAAATATGCCATCTTATTTAAATAAAACAAAAAAAAATTGTAATTATGTTGTCAAACTTTTAAAAAAACTGTACATAAATCCAAATAAATTATTAAAAAAGTAATTAGCACAAGTTACATCCACATCTTTTAATATTATTGTGTAAAATGTCCACATCTTTCATTTTGACATCCTCACATTCATTTTCACATTTCATTGCGGAAATCATTATTTTCATCAATTTCTCAACAAAAAACTATAAAATGACAATTATACTATTTTATTTAAATAAAACAAAAATAAAGATCAAATTGCAAATATACTCTCAAATTTTTTTTAAAAATACAAATAAATTTCGAATAAATAATTAATAAAAGAAAGTGATTTTTTTTATTTTGTGTTTTTATTATTTACTTGAAATTTATTTTTACTTTTTCTAAAAATTTGGGAGTATAGATGCAATTTGTTCTTTACTTTGTTTTATTTAAATAGGAGGATATATTCATTATTTTATGACTTTTAATTGAAAAAATATGAAAATAATGATTTCCACAATGAAACATGAAAATAAAGGGAAAAAAAAAATTGAACGATAAGAACATTTCGCACAATAATATTGAAAGATATAAATGTTTTGTGCTAATTACCTATTTAATAATTTATTTGAACTAATTTACAATTTTTTAAAAAGATTTGAAGTATAATTGCTACCTATTCTTTAATTTTTCTTTTTCTTTTTTTTTTGTTTTATTTAAATAGAAGAGCATTTGTCATTTTATATTTTTTTTAATTGAAAAATTGAATAAAAGGAACATTTTCCACAATGAAAGATGAAAATAGCGGTAAAAAGTCATAAAATGAAAAATAATAACGTTATGCATAATAATATTAAAAAATAATGACATTTTGTGCTAAATACCTCTTCTACTAATCAATCATGTACCCAAGTATCTAATGAGGTCACTGAAACTGTTGTCCGAGAATATTCGTACAAAGTTACTATCACAATCCATTTTGATAATCCCATGTATCGTCTTGTCTACCCCAATATCATGAGTAGAACATCCTTTCTTGGACATATCCACGCAAACCTAAATCACATTTTACCATGTACACATCAAAACGAGAATTTTGAATCTAAAATTCTAACAAATATATACCATTATGTTGCATCATCCAATCTCTTGAAAGATTATTGCTTCACATAATGTTTCAGGCTTATCTCTAACAATTAAACAGCTGGTGTAGGCAAACAAAAACTCAGTAATATTCATGTTGCAAACGAAACGTTTCTGAAACATCTGACGACTCTGACAACACACTGAACAATTTCTACACTATAACATGTTCACAACAGCTTTGTTCATCAAGAACACGACGGTGAAAAGGTTTGAGATTTTTGTAATTTTGGTATATTCTGCCTGTGACTACGATTATTTTATATGTCCTCTGGGCCATTGATCTCCTGGACAGCAAAAGAAAATTAACCGATGATTAATTACTTGTTTAATTATAAGCTAAATTCTGAAACAGACTGCTCAAGTATATTACCTTGTTAGCAATTACAGCTCCATCAGGAATTTCTAACTTCACACCAGTTTTCACAACAATGGTCACTTTACCCTAACAAAATGAATTTAAATACAAAAAGGAAAATCACAAGAGGATAAGCTTAAGATCAGAGGACGGGATATATACACAGAAGTCATTGAATTTTTACCAAAAAATTCATTTCATTTTTTTTTATAGTTGATTAACTTTTCATACCATTAGTATCTGTTAGTTTGACTAACAAAAAAGGTGTCGTGACCATGCAAGTTTTTGAGCTAGATAAACTTATGACAGATTGACCAAAGTGTAACAAATATTCAAATTTGGTGACAATTTGGTGACAAACATAAAATTTTCCAGTAAGTTCAGTGACACCACTGTTTTTAACCCTCAAAAGATTATGAACTCCACATATCAACAATGCTAGAGCAGATAAATAGAAATGCAGGAAATAATGTCACAGTACCTTCAAAGTAATGCCAGATCCAAACCATACATCACCAGTCACTTTCAAGCTATCCAGCTCAACGATACTAGGGATGGACTTGAACCTACTTAAAAAGTTGGCAACCTAAAAATGAGCAATCAGTGTCAAGCATAAACAGAGAATTGCACCAAGCTAATGCAAATAATAGAAGAAATAGGTTTTAACCTTCTTAAATTCAGGACCCAATTCAATTGAAGGATTGGCTGGATTGATCCTTGCTGGGTTCCGGGTCACAAAGCCTTCAGATAAGGTGTAAAGATCCGACTGAAAAATCAACCAAATGAGTTGGGAATCAGGGATTTAAATATTTAGAACTGTGTCTGCATGTACATTTGAAGTCAGATACAAATTTACTTGAACTAGAAGCAGATCTGAAGTTGCTTTCACCGGAAGGAATCGAGAACGGGGAACATTGATGCCAATAGCACGGTCAAAGAACTGATTGACAACATATGTGGGAAACAAAAAGATTAGTACAACTTTTGAGAAGGGACAGTCGGACAAAATTATAAGATAGTAATGTTGAAAAATGACACGATTGTGTACCTTTATTGCTGCCCCAGCAGCGGTTTCGAGTTGAAGAACTTTGATTCCATCCACTTCCTGGAAAATGAAAATATCTTTAGACAGACTGCAACCTAGAAAAATGGCCATGTTCAGGTGACTGCTTGAAATAAAATGAAACCTTTGGGTTGGGAATAATCTCCATCTTCAACGCATCTGCTTGCACAAGTCTTTTGATTGCATTCAGGTTCACCCACCTGCATGATTTGTGGTCCATGTGTATTATTACAATTTCCCTACGAAAAGTATTCAAGATTATCCAACAAGTAACTAATTTGAGTGAGGTGCTGTCATGGCTTACAAGTTGTTTGTGTTGAAAATTTTGAACTTCTCTATACACTTAAATTCATTAATCTGCATGCAAAAGGAAATATCTACATCAACCACAAACATCCCAAGCAAGCATTAGATAGATAACTATAACCTGGGTATTAAATAACCACCACCAGAGACATGCTTTCATATCAAAAAAAAATTTGAAAAGTCGGGCAATAGGTTTGCATGAATCTTGCTACATGTAAACTATGATGTGCACTTTAATTTACACTTTATCACGTGACATTATCCTATTGGACATTTTAAATTTTAAACAGTTTTTTCATTCAATTGACACTTGACAACAATGCAAGTGTCAAATATCAGTATACAAATAGCAAAATTCAAGTTTGCATACGTACATTAAGCCACTTCATTTTGGTAATTCTCGTAACATATTTTCCCCAACTCACTTCACTTCTTCAACCTTCTTAAAAGGTCAAAATTGAGAAGAAGTCTACTGGTTCAACATAGCACTTCATGCAGCTCTACATAATCCAATGTATTGGTTGTAATTCCTAACTGATCCAACCGATTCTTTCCTTGTGAATCAAAAGTTCCAAGTTTTATGCTTAAAATATGTGACATGCCCCTTGAAAATACCAATAACTCTTAGAAAGTGAAGCCAAATTCATTCCAACCTTTTCCTCGTACTAGTATTGTTTTTTTCTTCTTTGGTTTCAATTAAAGCTGGTGATATAAGAAAATGAAACTGAATAACATGTCCCGTTATAAAAATATATTATTTCCACAATTTATCAGTCTCTTGTGCCTAGTTTGGAGGATATTGAACTTGCATGCGCAATGACTTTATACTTTCTATTGATAAAAACACCATTTGGAGTAGGAAAGTAATAGCCATATATAGATGTCAGGGTAACATAAAAACAAGGCGGGGGGGACTCACATGTTCATCAGGAACTTGTGCTATTTCGAGCAGCTGCATACAAATAAGAAAACAGTTACTGCAAGTGAATTTGAACATGAATATATATAGTTTCAAAAGGTGCAAAACAAATACACCTGGTTTCCTAATTTCATATATGACAAGCTACAAATTGGACAGGAAAAATATAACACATTGAGCTATATTTACAAGGGGTCTCTAGCTAACATCAGTCGCAGAAAAAAAAGAAAAAGATACTATCAACCAAAATCACCAAATCTAATACAAAAAAAGGGTTTTGTGAGTACCTGTTCTCTATAAAAGTAGTCATTAATCTAAGAAAATCTGTTAGTGACTAAAATATTAAGTATCTTCAAAGTATGTCAATAATCTGTAATGTCATACATAAAACTGATGAACAGGCTTCTAACTTCTTGAACACGGTAGCAAGGTGTCTTGTGGTCACTTAAACACTCTTACCACTGCAATGTGCTGGACATACAAGTACAACTGCTATATAGGAAGATATACCAATACACAGACCTCTGAAAGAATTAAATATAAGATATTGAAGGGAATAGTACATCAAAAACCTACTATGGTGTTTTAAGGTTAGCTACAGAACGTTCTGCTCACCAGCTTGAATGCCCTTCATACTCCACCGTATTTCTGAATTGTAATTAAAATGCCAACTATACAATGACAGTTTTTTACAGCAAGCATTGAGATCAGATGGTCTTTAAGGGTTCAAAAGGCTTAACCATATGTTGTGTAAGACAAGATTTCGGTAAGATACATAATACACTAATAGTGAACCATTTCTACTAAAAAAGCCACCGGGCACGCTCAAACGAACCAAATTTATTAATAAATTCATCACCATTTTGGGACATACGTATTGACAAATCAAGCCTTTGGAAATTACCCAAACAAAAAAATAACAATAATTCTTTAAAAAAATTAGATGAGGAAATATTTTTGAGATTAACAAAATATAAGTAACGGACACATTTTTCCAAACTCCAATGTATTAATTTATATTTTACTTTTGTAAAGTCATCTTTAATAATTTAATTATTACATATTCCAATTTCAGTTTAGAGTCATATATAAAGTGCCAGGTTATTATAGCAAATTGATCCAAAGCATACAACAGCCTCTTAGCAGTACCTCCATGCAGTATTCATTCTTGTTGTTGATCAAATGATTTAAAATTTCTGAAGCAACGAATTAAGGAAAATAATTGAACAAACACTTGAAAAATCAGCACTTGTCGCCATTGTTAGTAGTCTTTTTGTAGATAAATAGTTAGTGCTTCCATAAAGACTTAAAAAATAAAACAAACACACCCGAACGCACGCATATTCACGTGCCCACTGTTAGCATATAAAAGATCTAAGGGGTTAAAACTTAATTCAAGTCAACAAGTATGGATACTCAAATCAACAACAGCACCCAAGTTATCGGCATTCGCAATAAAGACATATTCTTTGCCCTGTGAGTGGAAAAAAGGATTAGGTATTGTATTAGTGAAACATAGTATTATTCATGAATGTCAAATCAAAGAAAACTGCATCTTAAGGGCACAACCTGCGATAGTAATGCTTCAAGCTTCCCACTATTCACCAAAGATGGGAACACATCGCCGTGACCAGGGGGAAACCTAAACAAGCAAACCACATTCATGACTTTGAACAGTTTACATAAAATATTTGCCACATTTGATTACTTAACTAACTAATATGATCCTGAAATAAGCAGCTAGGACAATGTGTGCAAATCCTTATATGACATATATGTAAACACTGACGTCTGAATCGCAAAAGGGGACCCGAAATTTTCCATCTTCAAAAGAAAATTTTCACAAGTACTTGTAAATGTAGATGTTTAACTGCTTGACCAAGTCCAACAATTAAAAATCAGAAGAGCAAAGAGTTGAATCGTGTAAAATACCATCCATCCTTGCCAGCATCTTTTATGCATGGAAGTGGCGCGAAATTGTCAACAGCTAAACGAGGATACTGACTCTGAAAAAAGTAGAATATAAACATCAACAACATATGAAATAATTTCAATGCAAAGAAAAGTAAAGACTTTCTAGTGTAAGATAAACAAACCTGGTTAAACGTATGGATCTCAATGTTTGATTTGGCATATTTTTCTACGATCTACAGTATAAAAAAGCAACACGTCAGCATTTGACTTAAATTAAACGTGGAAAGTCATTTTCTATAGGATATAGCTATGCAGATATATTTCACCTTCAATGTATCATCATGAGTATTGAAAGAGTTCATTAAAAGCAGGGGAACGCTGCATCCATACTTCTTGTTGAGAGTCTACAGACAACTAGAATTATTAGTTGCAGGCAACAATGAAACAAAAGCAATCAGAAGAATATCTTCTACGCACGTATTACCTCAATTTGGATCACAATTAAGTCCAGAAATGTCAAACCATCACGAACTTCAATGACAGACCTACATCATTGAAATATGAATTTTACCTATACAAGAGTGAAGATGAATATAACAACAGTAGAAAAACATAATGTATCACAAACATAAAGGTAAAATATCTCTCTCAGCATGACTCGTTAGATGCAGTTTTGTGAGGATAAAAAATGGTGCATAAAGAAAGAAAAGGTAGCCTGTCCAACTAGCAATAAGTTTCCTCAACTTTGCATAAAGTTAGCATATTCAGCCAGAGGTAGAAAACACAAAGAAACAAGAGAGAAAAACTTTTATTTATATTTTCTCATACCACCACCACTAGTTTTATCTTGCAAAATTGAAGGAGAACACATGGAAAACACACAGATCTTTTAACAGATAACACAGAGTTAATCAAATTTGTCTACAGAAAATTGAAAACCATACCATGCATTTCTTATGCATCTCCCTAATGAAAAAGTATGGAAGATAATTTTAAATATATAAAAACCAGTATAATCCATACTTTGGACCAGTGCATCCCATTGTTGTCCCCAAGCCTCCATTAAGCTTTAACACCACAAGTTTGTCTAACAGTTTTTTAGTCTCTGCAGGATCTGCATTAACCCCAAATAGTTAATTTTATTCACCAGCCTTCAAATCAAATATCTCTAAATTGAAAAAAAAATATATATAATATAACTTCAAAATGGAAGGCAGATAAGCATGACTAACATATGAAGATCACCTTCAGATACAGGTGTTAAGGTATCATAGGGTACGACCACCTCATCAGTTGGCGTCTGGATCTTACTCCATTCAACATGTTGAGCTTCACCACTTTGATTTTCCGAAAAAGGAACAGAAAAAACTTATCACAATCAAACTTCAACAGATCAGATAAGAAAAATGAACGACAATGGTAAACCTATTAAATACGTGAAGTATCCAAAATTCAGGAATAGTAACACCAGATTTTTGATGGGCAGTCCGGTTACATCAATTTCCAGCATTTAAAAAAAAATATATTGAGTAATAATTCAACACTTTGATCATATCCATACAATACTCACAATATGCAAAGCTCATCCTCTAATCCTCAACAATTACATTATAAATCCATAACCGCTAACCATAGATGTCCAATTGATTTCTGCTGTACCTGAGATAGCGAGTAACGAGGTTGAGGAATCCAGTCTTTTCATTTTCACTGAAAAACAAAACAAAAAACTAAAAAAAAATATATTGAGTAATAATTCAACACTTTGATCATATCCATACAATACTCACAATATGCAAAGCTCATCCTCTAATCCTCAACAATTACATTATAAATCCATAACCGCTAACCATAGATGTCCAATTGATTTCTGCTGTACCTGAGATAGCGAGTAACGAGGTTGAGGAATCCAGTCTTTTCATTTTCACTGAAAAACAAAACAAAAAACTTCAACCAAACAAATCGTCTAAACCAGATCTACAATAAAATAAACAAACAAAATTCATCAAATTAAAAAAATAGAAAACCTGATTTGATTGAGACCGGAAACAGCAGATTGAAGCTTGGAAATCTTCTCCGTATCAGCTGCACTTAAAGTTGCGGTAGACATTTTTTAAGAGTATAATAAACTTTTATTACTGTGATTCGGAATTAATGGTTTTGATGAAGAGTGTGAAGCGACGAGAAGATGACACTTCGTGCGGTGTACATATATATATATATATATATACACACACCAAAAAGTGAGAGAGGGTAGTATTGTAAATTTGAGTTTTAGATCAATGAAACGTGGCAATGGTCACGGAAATTTTTGGAAATTTTTGTTACCCACAGAATGGTGCCGAAGATGAGAGGATATGGCGGCGAATATCATGACCCTGTGGGTAATTTAGGGCCGTTTGATAGAGATTTTGAGAATTAATTTTTTGACTATTAAAAAGAAAAGTGAGGTCCATATGTAAGAGAAGAAATCAAAAATTACGGCTTAAATAGTAAAATAATGATCAAAAAATCAATTTTTTTTATCAAAAAATCCCTACCAAACGGGGCATTGGAGAATTTCAACATGACTCCCTTTTTTTAAAAGAACAGATTTTACAATTTCAATATATCTCTATAAATATAAAGAATAAAAATTTAAACACTCCAATTGATTCTTTATATTAAATACTTAATTTTACTATCCTAAAAATATATATTATTTTTTTATTTTTTACTTTCTTCTAAATTACAATATTGTTTTACTTCATTAAAAATTGAATGCGTTTAATCATGAAGAGTTTGTTTGAATTTGAAGAGCCAAACTCATTTAATTTAAAGAGACAACCTTTAAAATTACGTTTCAAGATATGTTTATTTTTCACATTTTAAAATAGGTAGTGAATTTGGAGAGTCAAATTTGCTCTATGTGATATATGTATTCAAAATATTTCAATTTTTAGTGGAGAAAAATAATATAATAATTTGGAAGGAAGCTAGTGAAAATAAAAGTAGAGAAAAATTATGAATAATTTTTGGAGTAAAAAATTAAGTATTAAATATAAAGAATCTGTTTGAAGTGCTTATAAATTTGTACTTTTAAAATTTTTGGATACTCTTTAAATTGTAAAATATACTTTTTAAAAGTATTGTCTTGAAGATGCTCATAGATCTCTACTGTGTTGATAAAAAGGAGAATCGTTCACACATTTGTAAGAAATACACATTCACGGAGAAATATTTCTATTTATACAATACAAAATTATATTTTCAGTTCATATGTTTAAATTTGCATATCTAATATATTTCAATCTGTACTACTTGAAGCCCATTTCTCTTATTTTTGAGTCAAGATCTATTGTTCACGTTTGACAATCTAGAGACCATTTATTTGTTAATGTGACAGTAGAATCTTAAGCCCCCATTTGGCCTCCATTATTTGAATTTATAATGGGAAAATAATGTTTTTTTTAAATTATGTGGTTGAAAGTAAGAGAGAAACAATTAAATTAAATTAAATAATTTTAAAGGGGGCTAAGTAAGGTTCTCTATAAAGTAAGCAAGATAAAACTTTTTACTTTAGATGGAAAATAGGATTGTCGACTATTTTTTCAGCTAAGTACCACATTGTTCATATCTTATACATCAAGTTTTGAAATGACATATTCGTTGACAACGATTGATATTGTGATATGTCAACATCGCAAAATATCAGATAAGGATATCAAATTTCAACTCCATTTTTTTTTTCGGAGAGTGTATTATATTTAATTGCTTGTCCAAGAGATTACGAAGAATATTGATAGATAGACAAATTTAAATGAATCTGAAAAAGGCGAAGATAAGTTATTAAACAGAATCTTTACATGCTTTTTTCACTTTATCAAGTTATATCCGGAGAGCATATTTCCATGCCTATAAAAGCGTACCATTAGAAAGAGTTTTAACTAATTTAAAATCTGCGAAACTTTTATGATTAATTTAGACTAAAAACTAACTAAAAATTTAAGTATGTTATTTAAAACTATTGATGTTACGACATCAGTTTAGATAGCATTAAATATCATTAAATGGAAGGTACAATTGAATGATTCAATAAGTTTCAATTTTACCTTCAATTGAATCTATCATATAATGTTATATAGACTAATGTTAAATAGTATTATTCTAAAATTTAAGTAAAAGTCTATAATTAATTTTCATCACACATTTCACGAGAATCAAATTTTTTTCAAATAAATATTTCATCATTTTTTATTAAAATCTATTGAAATTACGATTTTTAGCTACACCAAATAGGGTTTAATTTCAATTTTTATATACGTAAATAAATAAATAAAATAAGAAACTGATATAGGTTGGTAGAAGGAGACACCCCCAAGGACGAGCAAGGCAGATCACAGCACACCGATGCAAGGCCATCGACCCTCATAGGGCGTTCTACCACTACACTCAGGGAGCGCTCTACCACTACATCTAGGGAGCACTCTACCACGACCCCAAAGGGCGTTCTACCATTACACCCAGGGAGCGTTCTACCGCTACTCCTAGGGAGCGCTCTACCACTACGTCTAGGGAGCGCTCTACCACAACCCCCAAAGGGCGCTCTACCGCTATCCCAAGAAATCATTCTACCACTAAGCGAAATCCTCAACGGGAATGATATCCCTTGTCCAAACACTTAGCCATAAAACCTTTAACGAATCGACAAGGTTACATGGCCGCTGATACAGGTACAATCTTCAGACGGGAAGTTAAGGACTCATCACTCAGAACGTGGGTGTAGTGGGAATATCATCGTGGGACACGTGGCACCACAACCGCCCAGCGGTTACCTGGTGCCTAATATCTATAAATACCCCCAGATGAGACACAGGTAAGGGATGATTTTTTTGAGCTCCCATTCTCGTTTTTAGCCATCTGATTTTCAAATATATTCTTTCCAAGTCTGAAAACTAATTCTCACGCCGGAGGTAAAACGGGGGAGAAAGCCCCGCCTTCATTTTTCAGGTCTTGCATACTTGACGGAGTGGTGGAAACGCCAAACATTACCGGATAAACAGAAGGGTGTTGAATCACCGCCTTTCATTGGCGTCGTCTGTGGGGACATCCGTTTGAACTAAAAAGTCATGTCAAGAAGACGAACAAGAAGTGATACTCGCCTGGTTGGGAATACGGCGGAGACAGAGTCGGAGTCATTTGCAAGGGGTCATGAACCACCACCGCCCCCGCAGTATGTGACGCAGAGTCAATTCAGCGCTTTGAAAAACCAATTGGCGGCAATGATGGTGCTTTTACAAGACCAGTCGCAAAGAACCACCATCCCTCATTTAAGCCCGACGGAAGTGACGAATCAACAACCGCCTCAAGCGCCACCCGTCGTTGTCTCACCCACCTCTCAGCGGGGAGCGGGAGCCCCAATGACCGAAGCTCAACAGCCCCTGCAAACCATGGTAGACCTGGAACGAAAGATGGAAGAAATCATGTCACGGAAGATAGACGATGCGTTGTCCAAAAGGAAGGATAGGCGGAGACAGATGGTTTTGGAGGAAGACCCGTTCGCCCCAGAAATCATGGCGGTCCCTTTGCCTAAAGGCTTCAAACAGCCCATGATTGAAGCCTATGATGGAGTCACGGACCCGCTTGACCATCTACGAACTTTTGTGGATCTGATGAGACTTTATGCCGCCCCGGACGCCGTGATGTGCCGATCCTTTCCCCCTACACTCAGGAGGGAGGCTAGGGACTGGGTAGCAACCTTGGCCCCGCGCTCCATCAAGTCATTTGATGAGCTCTCCAGGAGCTTTGTGGCTTATTTCCTAAGCATCAAGAGGAAGAGGAAGACAGCCATTAGGTTGATGCAGGTCGTACAGGACAAAGACGAGTCATTGCAGGAATACTTAGCCAGGTTCAGCCAGGCGACTCTTGGCATTAGAGACCTGCAAATGTCCGCAGTGGTTACAGCCTTGATGAATGGAACGCGAAATCGGGCCTTTAAGATGTCACTGTCCAAGAACCCCCCGGAGTCGATGCATGACCTATTAAAGAAGGGAGACAAGTATGTCGATGCGGAGGAAGCGGAGAAGGTAACTAAAAATCTCAGGGATGGAAGGGAGACGGAAGCTAATAAGCGAAAAACATATGACGAGCAAAAGCACAATGATAGAAATAAGCAGAAGAGTGAACGCACGAGCAAGGGTTATATCCAAGACCGGTCAGTCAGCCAAAAACGAGAGGAGGTCAAGACACCCACCCCTTTGAACATTCCACGAACAAAGTTATTGATGGAGATACAGCACATGAAGGAGCTCGAATGGCCCAAACCAATGCTAACCCCTTCGGGCAAGAGAAATCAAAGTAAATACTGCCATTTTCATAGAGATCACGGGCATGATACCGAAGAATGCCTACAGTTAAAGGAAGAAATTGAGCGCCTGCTGAGACGGGGGCTATTGGCAAAGTATGTGAAAAACGA